AAACCTCACTGAAAAAGAACAAAAGAATGATTAATTCACTCCCAGAGTCGTCAACTTGAACACTACGGATGGTAGCACGAGAGTCACCACGCGACATCGCGCCCACCTGAAGTTCAAAAATGCGCGCCAAATGGGAGACTGCGCTGGGCAATCGGGCAGCATTTGCGTGGTCACGTTGCCAAGTGGCTTGAAGGGGACAGCTCGTCCCAAATTGGCGGGCAATTTGAACAACAAGATGGCGCGATGTCGCGCACAGACCTCCTACCACATGCCCGAATGGTATCTCAGCCGTTGTTCGCCAAGTATGAACGCGTTACTACTCCGCTGTTGACGTCACTACTTTTAGTTCTTTTATTACCGATAGATGGCCTTAACCACCCATATTACTAACAAACACAATTATTAACAACTTTAGCATCTTCATTCTTTAAAAAATCAAATGAGCAAAAGATTCACTCGACATAGGAAGTCATCTCGTTCTAATTACCTATACAATATATACTTAAAAGATATTCTCATGTCTAGGTGATATAAATTACAGTAAAATTGAACACACGCGGACCTGTCGTCGGATGGTGATAAAGAACATCGGTACACACACCACACACACCACCTACACACAATACTACGTCGTCTGCTGCAGCTGCTGTAATATATACACACACCACCACATCCCTCGGTTTATGATCTACACATGCTGTTGTGTATGGCACACATGCGCACACACGCGCACGCATATGTACTCTGCTTCCCGCCAGGGGCCTGTCGTAACTGCGGACTTAATGACACACACGACGATGGTCGCGAAAAAATCGATATCACGTACATTTTTGATGCTCTTGATGCCGCGTGATGCTATTTGTTACTAGTCTGCAATTAAAACAGTCCACCAGCGGAAACAGAGTGTAACTACCGCGAACCGCTCTACAATTACAACGTCTACGATCACAGACCAAAATAGGCAAAAGTGAAGGACATTTACAAGCCGGTCCTCGACACATCGACAACGACATGCATGTAAACTCACCCTTACACACACGCATACAGATACACGTAGAAGCCCATACATATGTGTAAACTGGATATATGCACACACACACTTGGCGCGTACACGTGCGATTCCTAATATGGAGCTAGAGCAAGGATCGAAAGTCGGAAATCGGAACAGAGGGATGTGTGGTAAAAGCTGTGCTTCGAGGAGAACGCGACGTTCCCGGCGGTGAACGTGACTAAAATTGCTAGACGGTTTCCTAGAAACCCGCAGTTTTCTACCCGAAGCATAAAATTGAGAAAGCGAAAGAATAAAGACGGATCGGTGGGTGGGTGTTTGAGTGAAAAGAACGCGCTAAGAGCAGGGTCAACGATCTGGACAGAATGGATCCGAGTCGCTTGGGTGCGCGCCAAGTGCTTTCGTGTGCGCGCGTGTCGGAAACCCCGTTTGCACATATTCTGAGACAACTAGTGCATGAGAAAAGAAAAAGGGAGGAAACACTGAAGAAACCGTAACACATGAAGGGCGTAACACTACAATATGTAGAATCTAAAACGATATGAATATAGAAGATGATGATGAATAGGAGGAAAAGGAGGAATCAGGAGTGGGAACATCAGTATATATACTCTCATGCTACTCTTAGCGCATATAATCTCGGAAACGGTACGGCGTTTTCATAGGAAACAAGCATAGATAAACTCTATATATACAATGTTGTATGAACAATTAATAAATTACTTTACGAGGTGTTGATAGGAGCAGCTGATCGACCACCTTACATCACACCCATCACACTCGCACAAGTATTCAAAGCGGATGTAATTCGGCTAAGGTAAGAGGAACATTTGTCATGTAAAAACATCAAAGACAAACGATCTCAACGTAAGGACGTTCAGCAGAACTCAGACAGAGTGTTAACGGCGTACCAAACCGATATTTACCAGGCAAAGATGAGATGAGTCGCAAAATCTCCACATCAGCCCTTCACAGCTTGACTTGGCGATCCCATGTAAGAGAATGACGATGACAGCTTCGTATCACCGACAGATGACGAACGACGTGGTGGTGATGAACTCAAGCTCAGCAACGAGGACAAATCCTGAATAGCACGAAATTCGATAAATCTATAAATAATAGTAAAAGAATCAAGTAATTTGCAAGCACAATAAGAAGTACTAAATTACTGAAGCTGGACCAGAAAAGGCACCCACGCACAGCTAGTTGGCAAAAGCCCAAATATCACGTATAAAAGGTTACAGCTATTGACCAAGGTTGATTCTGAGAGGGACAAATTTGGTCGGGCTTTGTTCAGGGTGTTCCAGTGATAGCACAATTCTCAGCACAAATGAGAAAATTTTAAAAAAAAAGATTATTACAACAAGAGCCTACATAAGCGCTTACACAAAAACCTAATCTTTGCTAGCCTATTCCAAACCCATCGACCGACTAACAAACATTGTCTAGACAGCTCCAATGGTACTTGTACTTGAGCATCCAATCGCTTTTCCCGGTTCTTCGTGAATACAAACGACGGTGAGTGCGCAGAGGTGTTACTAGGCCCCATTTCCTACTTAAGACTCCCCTAACACCTTTATTTTTCTGCTTCTATTACTGGTTTCTGACCTAACACTACGATTTTTTTGTAAAAAGTTGATAAATTCTGCATGATACAAAATGCAATACGAACAAAAACAAATCAAAAATGCTAAAATTCTTGAGAATGCAAATCCCATCACTTATACGGCAAAGCCCAACTCAAAAAAAAGTAGTGCGTGCCCACAAAAATAAAGTAACTGCAGGGGAGGAACGCTTCAGAAGTCTATTGCAGCTTCTAATAAACCAGACACAGTAGTTTCGCCTCTGATAGTTTCTCAAAATGTCAAATAACTGAAACCAAAGTTGACGGACCATATGCTTTCCTTCCCCCACGAGAACACGTCCCTTCCCTCCGGTGCTTGTTTCTTTTGAGCTAGGGGGAGAACAGGCTTGCGTCATAAAGACCTAGAACACAGCTCTACCTTCCTACAATCTCAACAGTTAGAGCAAGGCGACCCGCAGGGAATAGGCTGGTCGAAGAACATTGTATCCCTAAAGCATCAACCACCATCCACTCTCACAAGAAATAACACCGAAAGATACCCAGTCGCTCTGAGGGAGCGGATAAAGCGTTCGGCTCTAGAAATGGAAAGACAAAGGGAGCAGGGCGAGTTATGGTCGCAGCGATGTCACTTAAAAGTCAAGTTTGACGAAACCGTCTCACCTTCTCTGTGTTATTCTGAGTTTCCTACTCTTTCCTAGCCTAACCTCAGCAGTGAATCATCCTAGATTTTGCCTGAACCTACATGGAACTCTTATGCTCTGTTTTGAATCGATGCGATCAAAACGAGACTTTCGATTAGTTCCCATTCAAACCATCACCCCTACCACTCAGCAGATGAACACATCTGAACAGATCTATCTAACTGACGGCGAGTGCGGTAATTACGAGGTAATTAGATATACTGTCACTCAGAAAACAACATCCCGTATTCCCCCGACAACAAATTGTCACTTTGAAAAAACAAAAGTGTCATTTCAAAACTGGATAAGCCTCCAGAGTTGCATGAATCCATAATAACATGGAAGTCGACAGAATAATAAGTAAGGCGCGATAGATTATGGATTGGTTCGCAGTGCAACCGGTTCTAATCCGACGCAGTCACTATGAAAATCTGCCCGAACACGTCAACACAACAACAACAAAAAAAAACTAGAACATATCACTTCTAAATACTGACCTGATGATCAATATCTTCATCTGTTAGTGTAGGAATCACTTTCTCATAACATCGATCACAAATTCGACGTTGTACTCCTTTACCATCATCTTCGGTGGTGTGGTAACGTTGGCGTGAGCACTGATGACATACTGACTGCATACACAACCTAAAACTGTTCTTCAGCAGCTTTTTCACGGGTGTTCTCCTACAGCTAATTCGTAATCGCCATAATCAAACCAAGAGTTCTCAGCTCGTGCAACGCGATGTTCAGCATCTTCCGGGTCGTAAAAACGCCAATCATTGGATACACCTTGCCACAAATTTGGCAATGCGTATTCCTTGCAAGGGGAATACCACTCGATTCCCGTGGTACTTCGCACGAGTCGACAACGGATACATCCGAAAGAGCGCGACACAAGCTATTACAGTCTCCATCGGAATCTGCATATGCACTCAGAACGACACCTTGAAGTAATGTCGACTTAACGAAAATCATAACACCACACCTGAGGCAGTGCTCTGAAGCTACTAAATTCTCATAAAACGTAAGCCCCCATTGATCAATCATACAGGAAACAAGAAGACAACATAAGCCAACCTTTAATATGAAATGAGTGTCCCTTGAACCAAAAAATGATAACTCCCTAGAAACCTGGATTTTCGACGCCGTAACTAACTGATTTGCCTGGCACGCACGCATGAAACGCTGAATAATCAGATTTCGCCCATGCGTTGCTGTTAGCACTGCATCATTCGTTATCTATTCGTTTTCACTTCTGAATGACAACAACCGCTTCATGACTGATTGTGAGCCTACGTGCCTAAGAGTACTGGACGGATTGTACCTACACTACAAGTATTATTGATATCGCGGTGGATGTAACTCTTCAATTTCAATGACAAATTGCCGCCAGTGTTCTCCGAAAGAAAATGGCGTCAATGTGATAACAACCACAAAGTGCAAGTAACCGCTATATCTTTGTCTAATTCCTACATTCACCCTTAACTCCCTGTAAGCCCAAGTAGGTAGGCGTGTTAACGGTGTTGAAATCTAAAATAACTTGTAAGGGAGCTGGGAATTTATAAATATACGTCGTCCATGCACGCGATCTTAGAGGAAGCCCGAACTCAACAGCTCGGACTGCAAACCTGAGCTGCAAAGAGCAATGCCCCCGCCAGTAGGCTCTAATCCTTAACAAGACTGCTAATCAACCAGCGTTGAGGTGTGGAGAATGCGTTCAAATGCTTCTTTACAGCGCTCATGTATGACTCACGTCAAAAACTTACAAGCCAATGAGGTTTGCGAAATTTTCGAAGAAAAATGAAGTGAAAATTCGAGTATGAAAGATGCGATCAAATTTTTACTCACCATTCTACCAGCTGCATCCCGACATGTCATACCACCAACATGAGTTGTACGCTCCGAGAAGCTTCTATTGCGTTTCATCTGATCTATCTGATGTCGCTCTAGCTCCAGCTTAAATGTTTTTCATAAGCATGGAGCAAAAACAGCAATTTTTTCTACGAATATGGAGCCAAAGAACGAAAAAAGTAAGCCAAAGTGAAAATATTAATAATAACGAAACCTAAAGGTTTACATACCTGATGAGCTCTGTTGATGATACGCTGTCGTTCCTCAATTGGATCGAAGAACTTTATTAAACCATCCTTGTCTTGACATTCTTGTATACTTTTCCATGGATGAAGAGGTGAACCAACCACTATGGTGGAACCGTCTCGCCTGGTTGTTGGCAGAGATGGTGGAGCGGTGAAATCGCCCTGAAGCAATAGGTGATGTTTTACCTGTGACAATTCAGAGTTATCATTGTATATAGTGATCACATACCAAATTGATCAGTGATGTATCCATCAGTGTATGTTCAGGTGACGAGGCGCCTATGTTGATGGCTCCATTCGATCCAGAATGACTCATTAACGACCTGGAAATTGAAAATAAACACACCATCAGAGATCGAATTTTAGAGTGTGAGCAGAACAGCGAAACGAGGTAAACAATACGGATATCGGGAAATGGCAATTCAACACATCAAGGCACTTTACTGTGGATATCCATAATTTCTGCAGCCTTTTCGTCTTATATATGGACTGGAATCCGCATTCCGCAGGTGAATACCAGTTCTCCTCTTGGGTCAGGTCACCTCTGATTTGCTCTTAGCCAACTTAAGCCCAAGCTAGATCTAATCTAAGGCCTTGATCGTAAAGCAGCTCTGGTGACTTGACCTAGGAAAAGAACTGAGCGTCTTCGGCATCCAATTGAAGATAACATTGAAAAACTACTGAAGAAATCCAAAAGCTACCCAAACGAGTCCGCTCCGTCGCCGAATAACCAAAAAATGACCAAGAGAAGATTTGTAAAAATGTGGTCTGTTTAGTATTGTTACAACGACTCGTCGCCGAATAACCAAAAAATGACCAAGAGAAGATTTGTAAAAATGTGGTCTGTTTTCTATCAAGTATTGCATCCTTGCTATGGGAAACTATTCCCGATAATATAATCGAAAATCTACAAACATGGCCCAAAAACTTAAGTGACTTACATTCCACTAATATTCGCTGCGTCCACGCTCGTAGCTGAATTGATGCTTTCACTGCTCTTGCTCTTCTGAAGTGGGGTCCCTGGATTGATCACTGGCACAGCGTTACTGCTTGGATCCTTCAACGGTGCCGGAATTGGACCGACTCGTGCCGGATAGGGAGGAACGGCCTGAAACTTTCGTTTTTCTGAGCAGTGCTAATATCAACACTTTAGTGGCTGTGAATTTCACACCGTGGCTATCTCATCTCAAATTTTATCATTTCATAATTCGCGTATTCTTGAATAGTTGGTTAGTCTAGAGTTTCTCTAAAACACCCGAGAATATGTCAGAACATCTGTATCATTAACTAAGGATCAGAAAAAACAAAGTGAGAAAGGTTTAGAAAAAAAGAATTCAACAGCCAACCACGCATGAGTGAATACGAAGAGATCCTAACCACTCAGTAACCTTTTGAAAATAAGAAAAAGGAAAAAAAACAAATTCTCATAATAAAATCCACTCACATCGTCATCAAAGGCGCGATCCCGATAAACTTCGATCCATTCACGTAACGTGCTCATTTCCGTGTCAAAGGTGATTCTTCCGACGATCGCCTTGTCGTACAACGAGCTTACCACCTGCTCGTTACGGGGACTCAAAAATCTCCAAATCGAAATCGGCTCCTCATTCATCTCTTCCTTCACCATCTTTGATTGTCGACGAGAGTTGAACAAAAAGGTGCCAAACAGGCCAGAGTACGCATGTTGAGCCAATTTAATCTGAAAAAAAAAAGATTCTCTGAAAATATTTTCATCAGATAGTGTTGTGGAATTTCCCAATCGTAAGTGCATCTTCCTGTCGCGGTGGTTTTTGCTCGGATTTGCAAAAGGACGTTTGCAAACGCTAAAAAAGTTCAGCACTGTCCGTTTGCAGTGCAACGTCGTACCATTTTCGAAATGCGAAATATAAACAGCAAAAAAAGTTGTTTTAGTGCGAGGTTGACATATATCTCTATTTAGACTCCTCCAATAGTCTCCTCCAAATCCCAAGTGATTCTGAGAAGAACGAAGAACTTTAACGCCAACTGGTTTCTTACTCTTTCGCACTTCTCACTTTGTATTCCAACAACAAAGACCCGTTCATTCTCACGGAAACTCGTTCACCCATTGATTTGGAGAAAGGAGAAGGATTGTGTAATTAGTGACCATCAATGGAACAAGCAAAACAAACACGCTAATGCTCTTCCCCCGACTTCCTTAGAAACATCCAGCTTGTTAAGCCTGACAGAGTTTCACTTTCACTGGAATCAGTTCTAAGCCGGAAAAACAATCGCAACAATTTTTAATACATCTTCTTTTTTAAAGGCTTCATCTTGAAGAAATACCTTTTTCATAATAACGCTCACATCCCTTTTCTCCAGTCATTGAACACTCCGATATCCAAAATTATCCTTTGGACTACGTATACCCTACAAACCAGCTTCATTGGACCCATTTCACAAAGTCAATCCCTCCACAAGCACACCGAGTTTAAACTCTTGCAAGACGATGCTCACAAGAACCATTAAAGAGCTTCTTGATAACTACTTCTCAAGTTACTCACAGTTTTGCAATAGTATTTCAATTAC